ATATCGATGATCTAATGTATTTTTGTGTTTGTGTGTCCAGTGCTCTTGACATGGGTGAACTGCTCCAGCGTGCGATGGGCAACCAGAGTGCAGGACATCTTCACGGCAGGGAAGCTGCTGGCCTTGGCCCTCATCATCATCATGGGCATCGTGCAGATTTGCAAGGGTGAGTATCTCCTCAGGGTCAACGGGGACGTACCGCCCCCTCCCACCAGCGACACCGCGGGGATTAGTATTAGCGCGCATTTGCAGCTTTAGTAGCCCCGACCCCCCGCGGCAGAGCGCCAGTTGTTACAGGGGCCCGCGGAAGATGAGGCCGCTGAGACAACAAAGCAGGAGTGTTTGAAGACAAAGAATGAGGTGGCTTATGTCCGTGGTCTCCAACCACCAGACCGTGGCGCGTGTGGTACCGGAGCGGCGCATCAAGAGACCGAACAGAAAATGTTTTCTTGATCGTCCGAGTCTGAAAGGCTGCGCCTCTGACACGTCAAACCACCAGTCTCGCTCCTGCGGGAACGGTAGCAAAGAGAGCAGACATCGGCAAAGACATCTTTGGAGAGCTTTTTGAGAAAGGGGTAAAAGCCAAATGTTGAGAGAGAGGAAAATAATTCAGATGACCCGATAGGGGCTTGGGGATTTATTTGAAAATGCATTGGGCTGGGAAACATAATCTGTGGGAAATGAAGTATAAAGCCTTCGTCTCGTACATGTAGGAGAGTACTACTGGTTGGAGCCGGCCAATGCCTTCGAGCCCTTCCAGGACTATGACGTGGGATTGATAGCCTTGTCCTTCCTCCAAGGCTCCTTCGCCTACGGGGGATGGAACTTCCTCAACTATGTCACAGAGGAGCTGGTGGATCCTTACGTGTAAGACTTGTATTGCTTTCCCACAGTCGCGAACGGCCATTGAAAGCCCTGACCCAGGATCTGATCTCTGATGCGTTATCGCCCTTCCGCCATAGAGAGTGTTCCTATAAATGTCCGATTATGTAACCCTCGAACACACCCGTTGTTGCCATGCAGGAACCTCCCCCGCGCCATCTTCATCTCCATCCCACTGGTGACTTTTGTCTACGTCTTCGCCAACATTGCCTACGTCACGGCCATGAGTCCACAGGAGCTGCTGGCCTCCAACGCCGTGGCTGTGGTGAGTGGCGCCGACAAGCGGTTACCGCGAGACCGAACCAAGTCCGAACTCTGGGCTACCATAGTTAACTGGCCAGTTGGGCAAGGCCCTCCTCCAGGGTCCAGCCTTGTAGCACTGCAGCTTTCCATAACAAAAGCCCTTGGGAGGAACTGCAGATCCAGCTCAGAAACCACCACCCCTGAACTGGGCGGGAGGCACTCGAGCGCTCCAATTTTCCGAGTTCTATCCACCCTCCGTCCTATCATTGGAACTTGTGATTCATGCGGTTACTCTCTTCACTGCCGGTAGCCCGAACTGGCGAAGAATGCACCCACACGACTCCCGTGAGTGGACGTTCACCACCTCAGCGCCCTCTAGCTCTATTCTTCCAAGTGCCAACAATCACTCTTGTTGGAAAATCGCCACAGAACCTTTGAGTTTTGCCCCCCCC